TTTTATTTATTTATAGGAGAGAGAGAGAGAGAGACAGCGGAGCAGGGGAGGGTCAGAGAGAGAGGGAGTCACAGACTGAAACAGGCTCCAGGCTCTGAGCTGGCAGTCAGCACAGAGCCCGACGCGGGGCTCGAACCCACGAACCGCGAGATCATGACCTAAGCGAAAGTCGGACGCTTAACCGACTAAGCCACCCAGGCGCCCCCAGCTTGTGCCCTTTCCAATACCCTGTCTTCCAGCTCATTGATACAGTCTTTTGCATCCTCTAATCTGTTGAATCCCTCTAGTGTTCATTTTTATTTCTGTTATTGTATTCTTCAGCTCTGATTGGTTCATTTTAAAATTTTCCATCTCTTTATTGAAAGTCTCACTGATTTATTCCATTTTATTTTGTCCAGCCCAGTGAATACCTTTACAATCATTACTTTAAATTCTTTATCAAGCTTAGGGCACCTGGGTGGCTCTGTTGGTTACACAGTCGGTTAAACATCTGACTCTTGATTTCAGCTCAGATCATGATCTCGCAGTTTGTGGGTTCAGGTCCCATGTCTGAGTGCAGAGCCTGCTTGGAGTTCTCTCTCTCTCCTTCTCTCTCTGCTCTCCCCTGCTTGCGTTCTCTGTCTCTCTCTCAAAATAAATAAATAAACATTTTTAAATAAAAAAAATAAGTTCTTTTTATCGGGCATATTGCTTTATCTCCTTTTCATTTAATTCTTTTACTGAGGTTTTTTTCTTATTCTTTCTTTAGGAGCATATTCCTCTGTCTCCAGATTTTATTTGACTTTTGGTGTTTGTTTCTATAGATTAGGTGAAACTGCTACTTCTTCTCAAGTTAAAGGAGTGGTCTTATGTATGGTGATCTCTATACAAACTGGTTGCTTGATGACTTTTGTTGGCTGTCTGGAGTTGTGGCTATATATGCTAGTTACTCTTTTAAACTGTGACTTTTTGCAGAGAGAATAAAGGAAAGAAAATATATTATAAAAGGAGAAAAGAATAAAAGAAGGAAAAGAGAAGGGAAAAGGAACAAGAAAGAAAAGAATAAAACCCAAAAGAAAAAATAAAACAGGACAGGTTTTAAAAAGTAAGAAAATAATAAAATAAAATACAGTGAAAATTAAAAAACAAAAACACAAAACTATGGCTTGTTTCCTGTGTCCCAGAACCACAGGATAGCTGGTGTGGGCTTGTGGACTCTGGGCTTACTGAGGTCACAAGGTCACTATGAGCCAGACCCAGCTCCAGTCTGGGCTATTACGGTGGAAGAAGAGAGAACATTCCCACAGTTCCTTGGCCCTTTTAAACTGTGGCTTTTTTTTTCCTGTGCACCAACATGACTGGGGTTGGTCAGTGCTTTAGGACCCTGGACTTGCCGAGGTTACAAGCTCCCTGTAATGAGTGGACTTGCCAGTGTGGCCTCAGGAACCTCCAAGTATGGCCTTCAAACTCACCCCGTATGGCAGCCAGTCTCTGCTCCAATCTGAGCTTTTGAGGTGGAGTGGTAGAGAATGTTCCTGCAGTTCCTTGGCCCTTTTAAACCATGACTTTTTTCTGTGTCCCAGCACACCTAGGGTTGGTGTGGTCTTATGAACCCTGTGGTCACTGAAGCTTTGAGCTCACTGAAACAACCAGACTGGACTCACCAGTTACGATGTCCAGACCCTGTTCTGGTCCAAGCTTCCAAAGTGGGATGGGAATGTAAACCATGTCATTCATCACTCCCTTTCACTTGCAGGGCTTCCCCACAGCTCTTCTACCACTTGGCAGAGTTCTAGTGTTTTTCTTTTATATGCTGGTAGCTCTTTTAAACATAGGTTTAAAAAAAAACACAGGCTTTTCTTTCTGTGCCAAAGGACAGAGAGTTTTTTCTTTTCAGTCCCTCAGTACTATCCCTCCCCACTGCAGTTCACAGCATTGAGTTCACAGCATTGAGGTGGGGGTTCTTTTCCTTACTGTGCCTCTGTCTCTCTTACTGTTCTCTTGTGATTCTGTCTTTGGTTGTTCAATAGCTGTTCAGTTAGCCCTCAGTTCTTCAGAAGTGATTTTCTATAATAGGTGCAATTTGATCTGTTCTGTGGAGAAGGTGAGTTCAGAGTCTTCCTATGTCACCATTTTGAACCAGAATCTCAAGGTGTTCTTCCTGTTTTGAACTTCCCTCTGCGTCCTCTCTTCTTCAATCTACCATCTTTAGCTTTGTAGATTTACATGCTCTGAAACTCCTGAGTCATGCTCTTAGTGGAATTCTTTCCTTGGGTAGCTTCAGAGTTCAAGTACACATTTGGTTTGTGAAGGAAAACTTTCTTGTCACCTTCTTAACTCCTATCATTGGCTACCCAAATCTTTACAATTTTTAAGTTCTATCACTAACATTTTACATTTGCTTTCATTTTTCTTTATGGTTGTTTACAGTTTGCTGCTTTTTCTAAGGAGATATTAGATATGGTTTTCTTTGTTTTTATTATTTTTGCTTCATCTCCCCCCACTTCTCTCTCTTTCCCTCTTCTCTCTCTCTGTCTCTCTCTGTTTCTCTCTCTGTCACACACACACACACACACACACACACACACACACACACACACACACTGAGATGTATATTGGTATAATTTATTAAACCCATAATATAAGCTCAGTAGAGAGAGGCTGGAGGTGCCTGGGTGGCTCAGCAGGTTAAGCATCTAACTTTGATTCAGGTCATGATCTCTCAGTTTGTGAGTCTGAACCCTGCATCAGGCTCTGTGCTGACTGACAGCTCAGAGCCTGGAGCCTGCTTCAGATTTGGTGTCTCCCTCTCTGCCCCTACCCCACTTGTGCTCTGTCTGTCTCTCTCTGCCTCTGTCTCTGTCACTCAAGATAAATAAACGCTAAAAAATTTTAAAACAAAGGAAACAGAGGCTGATGTTTTCAATATGTATGCCAACTTTTAATTGGAGATACCTGAAGAATGCGTGTTATATTCTCTCTCCACCCCTGCCAAAAAACTCACTTTTTTCTCTATACTCATTAAACATAACAAGGTATACAAAAGCCTTTTATAGCTTATGTATCACCATATAAGGTGAATTTTTGTTATTATTGTTTCAACAGCACTCTTGGAGGACCAACTTTGGGGTAATTCTTTTAGAGGAGTGTAGTGGCTGTCTCCCTTCCCTGGAAATTGCCTGCCTGGTCAACATGGAGCATCCTTAGCTGCCATTACCTGTTCATTAGTCTGTCTGGACCAGAAGTGAGGACTTGACCCACGCTGGACGAATGCCATTCTTTCTTCTAAGAATTTGGTTTGTGACTGAAAGGTAAACAGACCATTTGAGCTAACTACATTGGAGGAAATGAAAATGTGGGGGCTTCACAGGAAGCCCTTCTACCTTCCAAGTGGATTGAGAATGAAAATATAAGTCTATAGGAAGACAGAGAGAAAGAGAGGGATATTAGACTCATAGAGACAAGAAGAAATGAAGTATAAGTATCTAGTTTTGATGACCTTTGCTGGCACCTGGTTACTTTCCTATTCTCTGTGTCTCAGCATTTTTATATGAATAGGGTTTTTTTTGTTACTTACAACCAAAGAGTTAAAACTAATATAAGTGTCTTAGCTGAGAAAGTGAAAATCCTGAGCATAATCCAGATCACTCCATGCAGTTCTGTGATCATTGGCTATCACCTTTTGGGTTGGTCAACCATCATAGAAAACCATGCTTGGCATCACAAAGGTGAGCAGTGTTGAGGATCCATGCAAATTAATCATATCCACCACACTGGATATCCCATTGATGGTTCAAGCCTTGTAATGCACAGGAAGAACAGAAGTTGTAAGTGGCTGTAGCCATGGCACTGTGCAGTACCTGTGCAGGTTGTTTACTTTTGTGATGTCAAGACCTAGGGAGCCCTGGGAAGCACCTCCTGATATCCACTAGTAGGTTCCCTCTTGTCAGGCACTTTAGTCCTTATACCTGATAAAAAGCTATATGGTTTCCAGTCAGGTCATCTCCAGCAAATGTTTGTGTGGGTTATAGGTATGTAGCTTCTGAGGCATCTACCTCCATTTCTCATCAGATCTATAGGCAGCTCCTCAACCAATACACACTACAGGCATGTGCAGATTGTGTACTGAAGTGCGTGTGGAGTGAGGGAAAAAAATAAGTCCGAGGAGCCTGGAAGAGAGAATGCTTGTATGACAGAGTCCCAGTTCCAATTCACCCAGTATCACCATGTCTTTTATGTCTTTCGCTCGAAGTGGCTGTCATCCCCTGGTTATTGTTTTCATGTTTCAGCTGGAAAACATTTTCTTCCCTAATACATATTTCACATAGACCAACTCTTTGTTTTTTGTTTTTTGTTTTTTTGTTTTTTGTCTAATATAGGCTATGCAAACATACATAAAAAATAACATTGAAGTTATTTTTCTAATGTTACTACATGTGAAGAAGACTTTTATTTCCTCTTTGAGGGCTTAATCCAATTAGTAGAAATGAAAGGGCAAGAACAGGTATCTGCTCTTTCCTAATTCAAGTCATTCTGCAAAGCCCAATTCATCTGATCTGAGGGACATCCATTCATGCTTTAAAGGAAGGAGCTGAGACAGACCAGCCCATCTTCAAAAGAGTTGCCACTCAGACACCACAGGGACCTATAAATGTTATGGTCAGGGCTACAGAGAAGGAGTTATAGAACCTGGGTCTGATCTTGATTCGACTACCCACAAATCCCTCTAACCATAACTAGGGCATTTCTCTTAACTAACAAGAGCTCTCTTTCTTCATCCATTTAAAAGACAATGGAGATAATAACACCCGTTCTATAGTTCTTACAGAGTTGGTAGAAAGGTCAAATAAGATTAAGCGTGAAAGTACTTAGAAAGACTAAACCTTGACAACAATGTAAGACATTTTTCTTTTACAGCAACACACACACATACACTCTATATATGTAATTTATTTATGTGTGTGTGGTGTTTTCTTTAAGTCCATTCAATGGTTTCTTTTGACCTCACATTTAACTTTTGACCTCACGTCTCCTTTCATAAAATACATTTCCAGTTACTTTATCTTTACAAAAAGAGAATATTTTACCACAAATTCAAGATAAAAAAGAAATGTACATCTAAAAGTCTGTAGAGGGAAAAAATCTAAATGAGTCCATTAACGATAACTAAAAAGTCAGTCCATCACAAATGGAAAAGGCAAGTAAACAGTCACATTTAATGAAATCTAGTTAAGGAAATAAATCACTCTCTATTTCTCTTTTCCCCAATGCCAATGTTTCATGACTAGGTTTTTGAAACGAAGTGTTTGGAGATAAAGTTAATTTGAAATGTGGTTTCTCAACTATTTAAATAGCAAGTCTTTCTCCCATGTTTACTTAAATGCACACACAGAGCCACATGAAGTCCAAACACTGAGTGCTTTATATACTAAGACTATGTAGTATCAGTGCAAATGAGAATCTATGAGATAAGAAACATCGTGCTTATACCTCATACTTTTCTGTTCCAAATGGAATTTTTAGAGATAAAATCCTTGAAATTGATGATTCAAAAATGTTAACTTCCTAATATCATAATGAAAATCAAAGTTGGCAATTAGCCTCTTATGTTACACATTGTTCGGGAGAGGTTCCTATTTGGGCCATCAAAAAGTAACTTTTAAAAATATGTTTAACAACTATTTCACTTAAAAATTTGTTAAACAAATAAACATTTAAAGAATGCTTATCATATACCACTTGATATTCTAGGCACTTGGAATACATCTGTAAACCAAAGGAAATAATAAGAATTGGAAGATAAAAGAAGGTAATAAATTATTCTTAAATTGAATATATTTTTAGGGGGACACCTGGGTAGCTGAGTCGGTTAAGTGTCTGACTCTTGATCTCAGCTTGGGTTTTGATCTCAGGGTCATGAGTTCAAGCCATGCATTGAGGCTCTACACTGGGCACGAAGCCTACTTAAAAAAAGAGAGAGAGAAAATAAAAAATACATCTTTTTTGGCTTATTTAAGTGGTATTGCCTCAAAAGTAATTAAAATAGATAATAATAATAATCTGTCCCCTAACCTATAAAAGTAATAGTTATCATTCATGAAACAATGTTACAGTTCAAAATATCAACAGAAAGAACATTTTTTTTCTTTCTGAATTCATTTGATTTTGTGAAGCACATATAGTAATGCTATAGCAACAAAAGAGTTTAATTCAAGAACATCCCACTGTCTCTCTGTCCGTCCTATCACATTGTGATATGCAGTGTTAGTAGTTGGAAGTGAAAAATTAATAGGCATAATTTTGTTTTTGTATTTTGTTTCCCCTTCTGAGAAAATTGAGGGTATAAATAAAGTTAGAGATCGTGGCTGTGCATGACACCGATTAACATTCTTGTGAGCATTTCTCTGGTAGTTTTGGTTGCACAGAGAGTAGAGTCATGGGTTCTGCTTCATGACTTGATTCCAAACATAGATGAGTGCATTAAATTCCCTAGATTTTAAGCTTCTGTATCTGCAAAATGAGAGATGGATCACATGACTTGAAAGATCACTTTTAGGTATAAAATTCCCTAATTCCAAGTGATAGAAGTGATATGAGACATACATTAATATAGCATGCTAGACATGAAGAAAAAAGTGTTGTAAACCAATATGCCATTAAATACTACAAATTACAAAGAATTACAAAGCATAAAGCAAGTTTTTAACTATAAATAGATTAAAGCTGTGAAAACTAAGAGTGGTCTGTGGAAGGAGAAGAGGTGTGAATGCTAATATAAAATTAACCAAATTCCTACCTGCAAGAATTACTAAGATGTCTCACAGCTCAGTTCTTCTCTCCTCTTATGACAGGGCCTAGATTGTGTTAGGTTTTCCTGTCATTCATTGCTACTGCTCTGTGTCCCAAGGCCAGGTGCCTATCAGAATGATGTCTGCATCCGTGGCAACCACAACCCTCTTGGCCTAATCATGCTCAGCAAATGCTTAGTCCCACATCCACCAACAGCTTCACTGTTTTGTGGCTTCCAATGATGTCCTCATGGAAGTGGGAGAAGGCTTTCACAAAGCCTTTCATGTTGTGCCTTGTTTTTCCATTTCTTTACAGTTCCTTCTGTCAACAAATTCATTCCTCCATTTGATACTTTTTTTTTTTTTTATTAAGTGTGTGTTATGTGAAAAGCACTGTGCTGGAAACTAAGGACACAGGGATATTCATGGTACACGTTGTGATTAGGAAGACAGGCATAGAACACATAATTACAAGTGTTTGTTAAAATAGAGTCTCTAAAACTCTATAGGAAAGTATGGTGAATTTTCCCCCAAGCAAGTTTGGAAGTCATTTGAGGGGCACCATTCAATGGTGGAATCACAAGGATCTTCTCAGGGGCACTCAGCAAGTATGAAGATTCCACAGACACGTCAACCCTGTTTAACTCCAAAAAAGTTTTCTCCTAATCCAGGAACTATTTTGTCACCTTTACTCAAGAATCCTGGGGCCAGAGTTTTAATACTATAGAATTCTAGGTTCAGACTGCCAGTCTCAAAGTTGTCTTTACCATGCCAAGTTCCTTCCATCCCAGGTTTCATGAGGTAGGCATGACATAGAGTGGTGAGAACATGGACTGCTAGGTTCAAATCACTGTTGCAATACTCTCTGACTGTGCGATATTAGGTAAGTTATTTAGGCTTTCTGAATCTCCATTTCCTTATCTGTATAACAGAGGACTCAGGGTTATTACAAGAATTAACAGAAATATCTGTGCTTCCCACTTACTTTGTTTATAATGGGTCCTCAAAAATGTTAGTTCTTGTCATCCTTCTACTCCTCAAAATCTTGTTTCAAGGGGCACCTCAGTGGGTTGATTACCACTTTGATTTTGGTTTAGGTCATGATCCCAGAGTCATGGGATCAAGTCCCATGTCAGGCTCCACACTGAGCATGGAGCCTGCTTAAGATTCTCTCTCCCACTCTCTACACCCCCCCTCCCCTGCTCTCTCTCTCTCAAAAACAAGATGAATGTTTAAAAAAATACAATCCTGTTTCAATATGTATGCATATTGCTAAAGATTGAAAGGAAATGCATTGTGCATGATTATTAATGATGTCTCAGTTTCTGCTGCTATAGTTTGTTCATGAAATGCATATATGTATTAAAGCCTTTCCTTTTACACAGATAGTACCTGTTTATGGTAGAAAGTGTAGAAAATCAGATAAGTAAAAAGAAGAAAAAATTATCAACTATAATCTCACAATTTGGAGATACCTACTACCAAAATAAATTTACTAAATGCTGGGTGAGAATGATGGTAAACTTGTCTGAAAACATCAATAACATATTTAGTAAGTATGGGACAGATACAGATAAAGGATTGACTTAAAAGGAACTATGAAGGGATTGACATGCTCAGGTAGGATTTGGGCTGGAGGGTCATGAAGGCCCCATCTCTATCCATATAGCTAATCTAAGCCAATGGAGCCCAAGGTTAGGAAATCATCAGAAACAAAATATTCCAGCTCATTCAGTACCTGTGATGGGTCTCTGTGAGACTTGGTAGCCCCTGGCCTGTGGTCTTTTCACCCCTAGGGATCAGCTTTGAAGATTTTAACTCCTTCTACCAAGTTATCCTATAGAACACTTAAGCTCATCCTTGAAGCCAGCCTTATAAAGAGCCATAGGTCATTATTTGCCTCCTTTTACCCCATATTTATGCTTCACTGCTCATTGATATTTCCTGCTATTTTACAAGACAGACACTGATGCCACACATAACCAATCTTGCTCATACTGCCTCTACCCTTATTTTTCCCTACAGTTATCACTGTCTTAAATACTAAGATATTTCAGGGGCACCTGGGTGGCTCAGGAGGTTAAGAGCTAACTTCTGTTCAGGTCATGATCTTATCGCCTGTGAGTTCAAGCCCCACTTGGGCTCTGTGCTGACAGCTCAGAGCCTGCTTCAGATTGTGTCTCCCTCTCTCTCTGCCCCTCTCCTTCTTGCTCTCTGTCTCTCTCTCTCAAAAATAATATTTAAAAATTATTTTAAAATACTAAGATAGTTTACTTAGTTATTTGTTTTGTTTAATCTCTCTCCCATTTCCAGAATGAGAGTTCCATGTAAATAAGGACTTTCATCTGATTCATTCTCTGATGTATTTATAGCACATAGCAGATCCTTAATAAATGTTGAATGAGGGAAAAAATCTAAAACATATAATCTGCTGACAAGTAAATATAAAAGATTGTCTCAGATCATTCACTATTCTGATGACATTAAAGGGGAGGCCACTGAGTATAAAGTGGAGGAGAGTGGGGATGAGAAAAGGAAGAATCAGCACTGTTTAGTGATGTGGGATATACATGTGACATACCCCACGGTACTTGTGAGTGACAGTGGGTTGAACTTCAGGTGAATATGATAAAAGTCTTCACAGGCTCTACAAAATCAAAAATATGAGTAAGGCCAGGGTAATAGTCGGCTAGGGCTGCCATAACCAGATAAAGTAAAATCTTGGATTGAAAATAACTTGTTCTGTGAGTGTTCCACAAACCAAGCAAACATTTCTAATAAATTTTATTTTATTTTAAATTTTTTAATGTTTTATCTATTTCTGAGAGAGAGACAGAGAGAAACAGCATGAGCAGGGGAGGGTCAGAGAGAGAGGGAGATACAGAATCTGAAACAGACTCCAGGCTCTGAGCTTGCTGTCAGCACAGAGCCCGACACGGGGCTCGAACCCACAAAAAATGAGATCATGACCTGAGCCGAAGTCGGACACTTAGCTGACTGAGCCACCCAGGTGCCCCTCTAATAAATTTTAACTTGATAAATGAGTGATGTCTTGCAATATGAGTAATACCTGACACCAAATGTCATGTGATCACAGCTGAGACAGTGGTTCTTTTCTGTCTGTCTGTCTGTCTGTCTCTCTCTCTTTCTCTCTCTCTGGCTCACTCACTCGCTGTGGGATTGTGGGTCACCATCTTCCATGCGTGGATGCTTGGCAGAAATCAGTGATTTTTCAGAATGTTGGAAGGTGCCCACAACTGGCACTAGTGTCATTTTTGTCACTTCAAATCACCTACAGACAGTCTTGCTTTTCTATGCAAGAGTAAGCTTAGGGATGCTTTGCTCATTCTAGGTCAGGCTGCCTGCAGATACAGACTTTTTCCTCTGCTGCCTTATTGTCAGTTGCATTAAATACAGCACACACAAGAGTTTATTAATACTGTACTGTAGTCAACATCCATGCAAGAGTATACAATGGCCCTCATGCAGAAGAAAATTCCATTGAGCCAATAGATAGCAGTGATTCTGTTAGTGATAGTGAAAGTTGTCCTGCACAATAACACTCCTCTCTCCTATCTCCCTCACACCAGTCACCTTTTCAAAGGCAGGTGCAAATTAATTTGTTTATTTTCTCTATATTTTGTATTTTCTTTTTTATTTTGTATTATATTACAGTATTGTGATCATTTTTATATGAATATTTTGCGTTGTGGAACGAATCATCTGACCTTGCATTATTTCTTATGGGGAAGTTTGCTTTGATATACAAGTGCTTTGGATTACAAGCATATTTCCAGAATGAATTATGCTCACAAACCAAGTTTTACTGTGCTACAGTCTGAGGTGCTTAAACAATAGAAATGTATTTTCTACCAGTTATGGAGGCAGGAAGTGCAAGATCAAGGTGTTAGCAGGTTTCATTTCCTCTAAGGCTTCTTTCCTCAGTTGCAGTCAACCACTCTTTGCTCCCTCTTCACAGTGTATTTTCTCAGTATACACATACTCCTAGCACCTCTCTTCA